GGGACTCCAGGATCATGACCTGAGCCGAAGGCAGTCGCTTAACCAACTGAGCCACCCAGGCGCCCAACATTCTTTTTCTTAAGCCAAGTATATTCATCCTATTATTTTATATATATATGTGTGTATATACACATATGTATATACATACATATACACATATGTATGTCAGACATCTGGGGTATATAAATTATCAATAACTTCTAAGTAAACTGAATATTCAGACTGAATTTTTTAAAAAGCAGTTTAAATCTTTTCTAAAATTAAACTGTGTCCATTGTATTCATCTATACGGACCTACCTTGTATATCCCAGCTTACCAAAAAAAACTTGCCAGTACACAGATCTCACTTTTGCACTGTGAGACCTTTAAAGATGAAGACAGCTCTTTACATACTTAAATATCTTTCTCAGGTAAAATACTGAATGAAATCTCCAAATGGGCTTCAAAGTCATGATATAAACTACATAAAGTAGATCAACATAGCTAATTTTCACCAACATTTTTGTGAACAAGAACAAATACAAGAAGTTTCTGTGCCAAAAATGAAAAGAGCTGAATGGAGGTCTTCAGATTACAGCTCAGGGATGCGAAGTGTGGTAGTTTTTAGGTAACAAGGAAAAATTCAATTAGGAAAATGCGAAATCAATAAAACGTAAACAGACAAAAAAAACAGACTATATCAGAATTTCAAGTGTCATGTTTACATAAACACTACAAAGCACAAATTCCATTGAATATTCCCAAACAGGTAAAGCTCTAAAAGCTGCTGTTAAATGTGACTGCAGTCAAGAATGTCTTGCGTACCTGTATGCACTTCCACCCAATAGGAGTATGGTCTGAAGCCTTAAACTTTAAAACTGGGCATTTTTTTTTTCCTGGCTAAAGATCAGGCATCTTTTTCTAAAAATCACCTTCCTCCTCCTTAATATCTCCCCCCACGATAAATAAGAAGCAGCTCAGCTGAAAAGAAACCCCACAGGGGGTCTGAATCTTGGGGACCAGCTGGGGCCAGTCTCAAAAGTTCCATCCACAGCATTCTGATCACACCAATCGTTGAAGCTCCACCACTACTCCCCAGCCTTTTCCTGGATTAACAAGGCATATCCAAAGTGACCAGATGCTTTTGCCCACAGCCTTAAATTTTTTATTTTTGTGCAGCACTTTTCAATATCTCCAGCTGCCTGCTGGTCACTAAGATTCAGCATTTATCCCAAGTATCATGAGGGACTCTGTTCTTCCAGTCAACAACTTATCCAATATGCACATGTAACACTGACCATTTTCTCACCATTTTTTCTATGTCTCTTAAGATAACTTCCTGCAGTCTCTCTGTTGCACTTATAAAACATGTGGTTGACACTGTAAAACACCCATGAAATAAATACAAAATACAGAGCCAGCCCACCAGAGACCAGAGAATAAACCAGCGAAGACAGTTTTTCTCTGGAAGCCGGCTTACAAAAGCAGGAGGAGTTAGTGGCTTGTATATACAGGGGTTTCTCTATATGCTTTCTGACGAGTGACTTTTCTTATTCTTAAAAGAAACCATGGAGGACTTTTCTTCATTAGAGAATTTATCTTTACTAGCAAAACAGCATTGGTCGTCCCAGCAATACGAAAAGTATGACTGCTCTTCCCCTTGTGACCCCATGCTGGGCACAAGACAGTCCTCTCACCTCATCCAGTACAACCCAATGGCCTGCCTTCAGAGCCGCCAGCAAGGGCCCGTCCCGCCAGGCAAACTCTCCTCCCTTGCCACCTTCAACAGGTAGATCTGCTCCAAACAGGTCTGTGATGTCCTTTGAGAGGGGGCAGAAAGGAGGAAAAGCCAACATTACATAAAAAAATTAACTAGATCCCAAGACCCTAAACGTAACATGATAAATTCTTGGGCCTTATGCCACTTTTCCTTTTTATACCCAAGACAGAACTAATCAATCCTAGCACTCTTTACCAGGAGCCCAGACATGCCCCCAAGGACCTTCTCATCACAATACTGCAAGTATCAATCGATTGGAGCAGGAGCTCTAGATCAGTAGTTCTCAACGGTGGCTATACTTGGAAATTAACTGGTGAGCTTTAAACAAAACAAATAAAAACAAAGACCAGTAACAATGTCCAGGCCCTGCTCCCAGACCCAGACCCCATTCCTAGAGAGTCTCATTTGTCACCTCTTGTCCCATAATTTCGTGAGACTGTTTATTTTTATTATTTTTTTTTTAGGAAGGACAAAAATAAAGAGGGTTATATTACAATAAATACTGAATTGGGCAATTATCTCTCAAAAGACAATTAGAATAAAGCATCTAAAGAGAATAATATTATAGATATCAGTTATTAATGAATCTAAAAGGAGACTTAGTTTGGAAGGTCATGTTGCTGTGGTCTTTATCACCATGAAATATTTGGGATTTTGAAAAGGCCCTAACTATTTCTGATTAAGAAACTCTATAAACAAATACAAATATTACTCCCTATACTCATCCTCATCAGCTACAGGATGACTAAGCTTACCGTTTGCTCTGACAAGTTGATTCGAACAAGGATGTTGCCTGAAGCCTTTGCTAATGCTCCCACCAAACTTGTCTTGCCCACACCAGGGGAGCCCTCCAGGAGAATGGGTTTGTTCAGTTTTGTAGCTCTTAAGAGCCTCTGGGCATTCATAGCTGTGGTGCCTGCACTGAGTGCATAGTCGGCAATATTATTCCTGTGAAGGACAGGTCCTTAAGTGGAGAAAAGAAAAGCCACATATAAGCTGGACATCAACCAAATCACATATCCATGTCAACGCCAAGATTTAAAGACTCTAACAAGTAGACTTTCAGTCAGTGAAGCACCATCTGTAATGAAAATGCTCAGCCCTATTTCAACATTTCCCCACTTTTAGGTTATAAAATCCTTTAAAGGAATAGCCAGCAGCATATGTTCTTCAACTGTGCCTACTACTCAGATCTCTCCAGCGCTTATAACTATGCATATACTTACTTACATAGGTCTAACTGCAAGCATATGTTTTTCCTTTCACAACCTACACCTGGAATTACTACATGTACTTGTACAATTTACCTTCACACATAATTTTCCTAAAAGTCAAGGGGAAGCTAGGTGTGTAGGCCACGTGTATCCATATAAACAATTTCATCTAAGGTTTTTAGGCCTCCAAGACAATTCAGGATGCATCTTTAACCCAAAATCTAGCTGAACTGCAGACAAATAATACTTTTATAGGGCTTAACATTTGTGTCACTGTGTTTCCTGGAAGAAACTTTTCTTATACCAGTTTGGAGAGCTAGGAAAACATCTATTACCTCAGCTATGGAAGCAGAGCAAGGACCACCCAGTCCTAGGTCACTAACATATAGCTCCTACATGAGAGTATTGGATATTATGATAATGACTTAGAGAAATCAGATCATGGATGCACCATCATGGATGAAGAGTATTATTGAAGAGGGAGAGAGAAAAGGGCGACATTCCATTAGGCCAGGAACCTAGGCTGGTTTTGTTCACCTCTGAACCCCCCGTAACTGCCACTGCTCCTCTAAGCATTTCAGACACTCAATAATTATTAATGTAGGGAGGGAGGAAGGGACAAGAAACAGATGACCCTCCTAGAGAAGCAACAATCTGAAAAATTACTAGTGCCTTCTAAGATAGCTAATCTACCTCATTTAAATATTTGGTAGAAGCAACCTAGTAAGAATGAGAGCAAGGATTAGAACTGAAACTCACCCGAGTTTCCCATTTAATCATTCACTCATTCATCCATTCACTCAATTAACAGACATTTTCTGAATGCCTATGACTGCTAGATTACATCTCAGGTGTCAGGGACAGGAAGATGAGTGACGAAATTCCTGCCCACAAGGGTTCACAAAACTATTTTGGTAAGCAGTGATGAAGGTCTATAGTTGATACATTATGGGTTGAATTATCAGTATAGGAAAGCTCTTGTTTTGAGCACTAAATAAAAAATAAATGCATTTTTACAAGATAATTTATTCATAGATTAAAGACTATACTTTCCCCTATTTTTATATGTCAGTTATATATTTTTAATTATTCATGAAATTACAGTTGGTTATGTCAAGTCAGATTCTAATTCAGATAACTAGTTTAAAAATAATCATGAGCGTGATACACTAAAAGTCACAATAAAGTCAAGTACCTATGATCTACAAGAAGAGAATCTTCATTTATTTAAAATCATTCTTACCCCTTGGTATAAAAAATGGATGAATTCCCCAAAGGTTATCTATTCCAGTAAATTCTTTGGCCTTGAGTCTGTCATAAATCTTCAATTCGTTTTTCTGACATTCTGTAAGTCGTACTATCTTGGAAAGTTTCTTGATTAGGAATTTCAGACATTCTTTGCGAGCCAAGAGGGCCGTACCAAACCCTGAGGAAGTTACCCCTAAAACACAGAGGATCATCAGTCCATCAAACAATAGCACGGACGGCAAGCTTCCCAACTACTCATCAGGAGCTCTTGAGTGGTTTCCAGAGGAAATGAGGCCCTTGCTGAAGTTACACCCAAAATGCAACTGCTACTGTAAATAGTCCAAAGGCAAAGTCTTGATCTCCCATCCCCACAATTCACAGATCAGAAGCAGTTTATTCAATAAAGCACCTATGCACTCCATGATGAATCAGCCTGGAGGTAGGAGTAATTAATGTGGTACTGTTGATCATATTGGTTTATATCTCTAATCTTCACTGCTGATAAAACAGAACTTAAACACTGAATTTTATGAAATTATGGTAAACTTAAAAACAAACAAACTAAAGGATTCAGGCCATTAACTATAAATGACCGTTCATGTTAAGAATTATCCAGTCCTTCAGGAGCAAGGGCATTTCCAACAATCTTCTTTTTACTGATAATCACCATTTCATGTTTACCAAGTCCCTGGCCTATAAGCAATGAGAAGTTGCAGCCTCTCTTTTATATCAACCACCTCTCAAAAAGAGTAGAAAGAAAATAAAATCCATTCTGCGTCTTAGAAATGTTAGAGTAAGTCATTTTTTTTTTAAAGTATCTGTGTCAGAGGTCAGAGGTCTGGGCTTGTTCCATTTCATACTCCCCTCTACCCTAACCCCCTTGACCCCACACCAGCTAACAGACAACATACCTGAACCTATTCCATCTATGTACACCAGGCATGCAGCATGGACAAATGATGTCACAGTGGAGATGGTCTCTGGCCTTTTCAAAGCAGCTTCCTCCCCCATTGTATTCATGAAGTTAACCCAGGACAGGATATCTCTGATACTGACCACACACCTTCGGCCAAATTCCTGGTGGGTCAGCCAATCAATGAAATCCAGCATCACCTCAGCTATGTCAGCCCCTAAGACACAAGGAGGCAAAGGCAGTTGCTTAGAAGTAGCTATATCAAAAATTCCAAATAGGGTTTTGTAACATGGGGCCCAGAGATGGCCTAAGAGAGGTCTGTGCTCCATAAGATTATATGCAAATTTTTGTGAAAGGAAAGTACATTACTGCTTTTTCTAGGTAGAGGGGGTCCATTGCTTTTATTACATGAACAAGAGGTTCATGAATAGCATTCCACACCTACCAAAAAAGAAAAACCACTTGAGAATTACAGCTTAAGAAGCAATCCTGAAAACTGCTCAAAGAGAGTATTCATTTGGTTCACGTTCAGATACAATTATGAAGACACAATGATTTTAGAAAATATATAAATTTTGTTGTATTTTATACTGATTCACTGGAATGGGGATGCCATATTTTCAGTGGCATTTTTTAAAAGATTTTATTTGAGAGACGGAGAGAGGAAGAGAAGGAGAGACAGCACAAGCAGGGGGGAGGGCAGAGGGAGAGGGTGAAGCAGACTCCCCACCGAGCAGGGAGACAGATGTGGGACTCGATCCCAGGACCCTGGGATCACGACCTGAACTGAAGGCAGATGCTTAACCAACTGAGCCACGCAGGTGCCGCTTCAGTGGCATTTAGTTCAGGTTTTTTGTTTTATTAAATCAATGCATCCATCAGAATTCAGCAAATTAGAGGATTCATAAATTTTGTTTCATGATTTAAGTTAAAGGACTAGTCTAATTATCGTAAAATATTTGGAAACAAAATAATGTAGATTAGAAGCAATGTCAATTAAGTTTAATAAAGCACTTTATGTAACTCCTGAAGTCAACAATAAACATTTATCTAAGACGTATGAGTACCAAAGAATGTTTTTTAAAAAAAGAAAATATGAAAAAAAAAAAAAAAAAGAAAATATGATGGGGAGCAATCAGCATTGCTATAATATAAAGTGGACCATTCAACAAGAGCCTTCAAGGCTATACTGCAAATCACTTAGTAGAAAACTATCTAGTTAGAAGAAAAATACTAATTACAAAAAAAACCCCACAAATCTTTAAAAAGAACTTAAGGGGCGCCTGAGTGGCTCAGTCGGTTAAGCGTCTGCCTTCGGCTCAGGTCATGATCCCAGGGTCCTGGGATCGAGCCCCACATCCGGCTCCCTGCTCCGCGGGAAGCCTGCTTCTCCC